TTCCCACATAATCATAGAAAAACTATATGTATCACTAGCTAAAGTATAAGGTTGACCTCTTAAAATCTCAGGAGCTACAAATGGTAAAACACCATAAATTTCATGTTTTTTAGATGTTTGAAAATAATCTACAGGTTTACATAATCCTAAATCACTAATAGATAAAATATTTTCTCTAATATTTAAAATATTGCCATGATGAAAATCACAATGAATAAGATTCTTTTGATGTATTACTTCAAGTCCACTAATAATATTATTTAATTGTAATAATTTAAAAATCCATTTATATTTAACTATATTTGATAAATTTTTTCTCAAATCATTATTTATTGCATATTTCATTATTACTATATAATCTGAAGTATTTGGATCTTGTGTAAATCCATATAATTGAATAAGATATTCATTTGAATATGTTTTTAATTGACTATAACAATTATAATGATGTTTCCACTAAAATAAAAATAAATTAATTAAAAACTTATTATTTAAATTAAATATAATTATTAATTTATACCTCATTTAAAAATTCCTTATTTAAATTTGATGATTTATCAAATCTTTTAAGAATTACATCAGTACATCCATTTCTGATCCATTTTTTATTTTTAAATTCATAAAATTTAATAAATCCATCTATCCAAGTTGCTTTATATATAATACTAAATCCTCCTTTATCAAAATACTCAATATTTTTAAATTTATTATAAGGAATCCATTCTAATAATTGCATTTTATTTTGAGCATTTATTTGAGTATTTTGAATAAATTTATCAATAAATTTATTTTTACTAGTCCATTGCTTTTGAGAATTTATTTGAATTTTTTGAATAAATTTATTAATAAATTTATTTTTATTAGTCCAATTAGAAAAACATTGTTGAAATAAATTAGAATAACATTTATTACACCATTTATATCCAGTATTATTTTTATTACAATTTAAACAAATTCCTTTTTTTTCTAAATAATAATTTTATAGTATTAATATTATAATTATTATTTTATTATTATTTAAAATATTAAAAATATAATATTTACTTAATTATTATATATTATTAAATATATCATTATAATATTTTATATTATTAATTTAATTATATTTAAATTATATAAAAATATTATTAATAAAAACAACTTACCCCCTAATAAATTTATTTTTTTAAATAAATAAAAATTTAGTTAATCTTATAAAAACAAGTATAATTAAATACTAATAATTAATAAAAATAACTTACAATCTATTTTATTATTAATTATTTTTAAATTATAAATATAAATAATTTTAAATTACAGTAAAAAGCATAATTAAATACTAATAATTAATAAAAATAACTTACTTTCTAATAAAATTTATTTTTTTAAATAAATAATTTAAATGATTTTAAATTTTAATAATAAGTATATAGTAATTAAATATTAATAATTAATAAAATAGCTTACTTTCTAATAAAATTTATTTTTTAAAATAAAAAAATTAGTTAATTTTAAATTGTAGTAATAAGTATAATTAAATACTAATAATCAATAAAAATAATTTACCATCTATTAAAATTTATTTTTTTTAAATAAAAATAAATTGACTTTAAATTATAGTAATAAATATAATTAAATATTAATAATTAATAAAAATAACTTACCTGCTAATAAAATATATATTTTAAATAAAAAATATAATTGTTTTAAATTATATGTAATTAAATATTAATAATTAATAAAAATAACTTACCAACTAATAAAATTAATTTTTATAAATAAAAAATTTAGTTAATTTAAATTTCAATAATAAGTATAATTAAATACTACTAATTCATAATAATAACTTACTTTCTAATAAATTTTATTTTTTAAATAAAAATTTAATTGACTTTAAATTATAATAATAAATATAATTAAATAATACTAATAATTAATAAAAATAATTTACCTGCTAATAAAATTTATTTTTTTTAGATAAAAGTTTAGTTGATATTAAATTATAATTATAATTTTTAAATAAAAAATAATTAACTTTAAATTATATAATAAATATTAATAATCAATAAAAATAACTTACTTGCTAATAAAATTATTTTTTAAAATAAATAATTTAATTGATTTTAAATTATAGTAATAAGTATATAATAATTAAATACTAATATTTAATAAAATAACTTACTTTCTAATAAAACTTATTTTTTAAAATAAAAAATTTAAATGATTTAAATTATAACAAGTATAATTAAATACTAATAATCAATTAAAATAACTTACCATCTACTAAAATTTATTTTTTTAAATAAAAATATAGTTAACTTTAAATTATAGTAATAAATTTAATTAAATATTAATAATCAATAAATTGATTTACTTGCTAATAGAATATATTTTTTAAATAAAAATTTAATTGATTTTAAATTATAGTAACAAGTATAATTAAATATTAATAATCAATAAAATAACTTACTTTCTAATAAAATTATTTTTTAAAAGATTAAATGATTTTAAATTAAAATAACAAGTATAATTAAATATTAATAATTAATAAAATAACATACCAACTAATAAAGTTTATTTTTTATAAAAATTTAATTAATTTTTAAATTATAGTAAAAAGTATAATTAAATACTAATTATCAATAATAATATCTTACTATCTAATAAAATTTATTTTTTTTAAATAAAAATTTAGTTGATTTTAAATTATAATAATAGTATAATTAAATACTAATAATCAATAAAAATTATTTACCTGCTAATGAAATTTATTTTTTAAATAAATAATTTAATTGATTTAAATTACAATAACAAATATATAATAATTAAATACTAATTATTAATATAATAACTTACTTTCTAATAAAATTATTTTTAAAATAAAAAGTTTAGATAATTTTAAATTACAATAATAAATATAATTATATACTAATAATTATTAAAAATAACTTACTATCTATTAAAATTTATTTTTTTAAGTAAAAATATAATTGATTTTAAATTATATAATTTAATATTAATAATCAATAAAAATAACTTACTTGCTAATAAAATATATTTTTAAATAAAAAATTTAGTTGATTATAAATCATAATAAGTATGATTAAATATTAATAATCAATAAAATAACTTACCAACTAATAAAATTAATTTATTTAAATAAAAAATTTAGATGATTTTAAATTACAGTAATAAATATAATTAAATACTGATAATCAATAATAATAATTTACTCTCTAATAAAATTTATTTTTTAAATAAAAATTTAGTTAACTTTAAATTATAATAATAAGTATAATTAAATATTAATAATCAATAAAATAACTTACTATCTAATACAATTATTTTTAAAATAAAAAATTTAAATGATTTTAAATTATAATAATAAGTACTATATAATTAAATATTAATAATCATTAAAAATAACTTACATTCTAATAAAATTTTTTTAAAAATAAAAAATTTAGTTAACTTTAAATTATAGTTATAAGTTTAATAAAATATTAATAATCAATAAAAATAACATACCAACTATTATATTATTAATTATTAATTATTTTTTTAAATAAAAAATTTAGTTAATTTTATATTATAGTAACAATTATAATTAAATACTAATAATCAATAAAAATAACTTACTAACTATTATATTATTATTAATTATTTTTTAAAATAAATATTTAAATAACACTAATAAGTATAATTAAATATTATAATTAATAAAAAAATACTTACAATCTAAATTATTAATTATTAATTATTTTAATTATTTTTTAAATAAAAAATTTAGTTGATTTTAAATTACAGTAACAAGTATAATTAAATACATATAATCAATAAAAATAACTTACTCCCTAACAAATTTATTTTTAATAAAAAATTAGTTGAACTTAAATTATAGTAAAAATATAGTAAATATTAATAATCAATAAAAATAACTTACAATCTAAATTAGATAATATATTAATAAATAAAATATTTAGTTGAATTTATATTATAGTGAAAAGTACTGATTTTAATAAAAATAACCTACGATCTAATTGAGTTTAATTATACAAATTAATTTGATTCAATATAATTCATCAAAACTTATAATATGTAACTTACTTTCTAAAAAATATTAATGATATATATTAATTTTGTTTATTTAAGTTATGATAAAAATTATAGTTAACTGATTAAAAGCAAAACATAACTTACTATCTATAAATTTTAAATAAAAATTTAGTTGAAATTAAATTATTAAATAAATGTAATTGTAATAATTGTTACACATAACAACCTATTAGAAAAACTAACAAAGTTTGGTATTTGGTATATTGCAAACAAAAAAAGCTATTTTATTGGCTCTTATAATAATATGTTATATGTAACAGTTATTACAATTAGATTTATCCTAAATTATTATATAAATTATATCAAATATAAATAACTAATAAAATAACTTACCAACTTTAATATTATTAAAAAATTTTTTAAAATACATTAGTTAAATTTAAATTACAATATAAAAGAATTATAATAACTTACTCCCTAGTATAATTAATCATAAGAAATTTAAATAAAAGTTTAATTTACATATTAAAAATTAAATATATCGATAAGAAATTAAATGACTTACATTCTATAGCATATTAACATCCATTGAATTTTATTTTTTTTTTAAAAAAAAATCTTAAGTATTAAGAATCATAGTTTACTTAGCAAATAGATAAATGTTCATACCCTCTAATTCTTTTAAAGTAGGAGCATCTGAAGCATCTGAAACTGGCTGTAATGCTATAAGAAAAATATTTATAAATCTTCTTAAATCTGTCAAAACAACTTGTTTAAATCAATACGCTTACCAACTTCATTTAGAACAGCTTTTTTATTACTTTTGTTTGCTTTGGTAAATATATTTTTAAACATTTTTATTACACTTTTTTCGTTACTATTAGACACTTTTGTAAATTTAATTTCTTTAGAAAATTGCAATTTTTTAGTTAAAATATGATCAGCTTCTGAATTGGCAGAATCACTTTCATATGTATTTTGATTTAAATCTTCTAACTCAGTTGAAGGTAAAATATATCCTCCATCAAGAAGATATGAATATAAATTTTTATAAATAGCATTTTGTGATAAATGTTTAATATTATTTTCTTCAATTAGCTCTCTACATTTAGGACAAGTTTTTTGTCTTAATTTGTTTAAATTATTTAATGAAAGCACGTGTTGACATTTCAGGATACATAATTGCTCCTCTGGTTCATTACTAATCGGACAAGCCATTTCATCTGCAATAACGTTTAAAATATCGAAAGAAATTATTATTTTTTCTTTCCTATTTTGATCTATACCTTTTCCTTTTCCTTTTCCGTTTTCGATCTCATCGTTTAGTAAATTGAAATCAATGTGACATTTTTCTTTAGTAAATGATAATAAGCTTTGAAATTTTTCTGAAGCATCCGTTTCTAATTTTTGAATATATTGATCAAAATCAAGGTCTATCATTGAAAATGTTTCGTGATTCATTGTTTGTAATTGTAATAATATTTCAATTGCTTTATATTGAATAAAACTGTTTGGCGCTCTATTGAGTGATTCAATTGCCAAATAATAACAAAGTCCATAAATAACTGGTTGGGTAGATTTCAGTACAAGATTTTGTGCAAGATCTAATACTCCAAACCATAACGTATTTGGTAATGTGAGAGGCTCGTTTCCGGCAAGATCATTTATGAAACTTCCAGAATTTCTTAATATCTTGACAAGTTTATTTGAAACTTCATCAAACTTTGTTTGCGAATCTAACATGGATTTATCAGCAATATTATTCCATTCTATCTCCGAGTAACCCCAAAGGTATTCTATCAAGATTCTTTCTCCAAACTTCTTACTAATTATATTTTTTTTATTCTCCATCCATCTGAACAGATTATTATGAATTATTAACATAATTCTCCAATCCACATAATAAGACGCCACCGGATATTTAAAACTTAGGCCTTGACGCAATTGAGTAAGCATATTTAATATCGAACAATTGTCATTTGGAATGGGCGCTACATTCGATAAAATTCCCGGTGTAATATTTAAAGCGACCTTTAACAAATCTTTAGTTCTCCTCAAAATTTCTTGATACCAAGTTTCGTCATCACGCAAGCTATGTAATGTATCTCGTAAGTGAATTAATAAAAAGTCAATATTATAGTTACGTCTTTTAATTTTAATGATATTTCTGTCGTTTATATCATCATTTCGTTGATTGAATTGATTGAAATTCGATCTAAAGTTATTATTAATTCCTTCTTGCATTACCTGCGCTATTTTTCTATGAATCTCTGAAAACATTGCCAAAGAGTTGTAAACTCTATCTCGAAGTTCTTTACTTAAACGCATTGGTGAGAAGCAAATTTGTTCTAAGACAGCAACATAAGTGCGTAAGTGTAATTCTAATACAACCTCACTTTGTTTTTCATAATAGTCAAAAGGTGTCGGATCAGATAATTCAATTAATGAATCCCTAAGAACTCGAGGCGAAAATTGATTAAGCGGGTTTTCAAAAAGCAATTTTAGAGCATATAAAAACTTTGTTTCGGCTATCTTTGTTAATAGTTCTTTTGCTTTTTCATCCGGAGTAGTAGGTCCATCCTCTTCTAATTTGTGAAGAATATGATTGTTGTGTGTAATTTTATGCGAGTCCATTTCGAACACGATGGAGTTGTTTTCTATATTAATGGACGCAGTATTCGGCTTCTTGCTGGAACTACTTCCACCCTATATTATATGATTAGATTGTAAATTAAAAATTATTTAACAATATTTTGAAATTTTTAAATATACTAAATATACTGTATTTACCTCCATTTTTATAAAGAGGTATAACGATTTAATTTTTTAAAGCCAACATTTATAAAATAAATTTGTGATACAAACTCCTCTACATGCATGTGACACTAAGCCTGCTCTATTTTGGTTGATGCATCAATGAAAATCGGCTAATTTTGAGTGCACCAAAAAAAAGCATCCATCAGAATTGACATTGTTTGTAACCTAAATTTTGAAATGAAATACCATATCGGGAATTTGAATTGATAATTAGTTATAAATATCTTTGGAATCGGGATCAATAGTCGGTCAACGGTTGTTTTGACCCGACCATTGTTTTAACCGACCGGTTGACCAACCGGTTAATAGTAAATATTTTGGTTTATTAGAAAGTTTTTAATTAAGCTGATAATTTTCCAGTTTTTTAACTTTCATTTTTATGAGGCGCAGCATTATCTCGGACTTTTTTTTAAAAATGAATTTATATAATTAAATAAATTTAAAAGATTGTCAATTTAAAACAAAACAAAAAAAAAAAAATTATTAGTTTACTAATTACAATAAAGCACGAGTCGGTAAAATCGGTCGGTCAGATGACCTGTTATGAACGTGACTATTAAACATCTCACTCATAATTCTGACTTTTATACAACTTATTTAACTTCTATCTCAATCTTGTCATCTAGAGTAACCGAACCTACTTTCTTTTAAAATTTGATTTCATGTTCATCCATGGATACGAATTCTTCATGTTCAATTTGATACACTTATTTCATCTTTTTAAAAAGCTCTCGTATAACCTCTTTACATATTATCTTTGTAGAAATTTTTATGTATAAATCTCCATGGTTTGATAGGGCCTGCAATTAAAATAATGATGCACTAATAAATTGAACAATATCACATGCTCTATTTGCTATAAATTTAACTTGACGATCCTAGTCTTAATTTACTTTAGGAGAGCCGAAGCAGAACCGAGAGAACCATCTCAATCCCTAGTCGATGGGTATATAGCAATCATGTATGGTATGGATTTTTATGCATGGAATGTATGATAGATGTATGGATTTTCTAAAATTTCTGAAATTAATAATAAAGTTTTTAAATTTTTTAATCCGATTCTAAAGATCTCGCGTAAGTACGTTTTAATTCGCTAGTAAACTGTTTAGACCCTCTATATTCATTTATAAAATCTATATTCGTCTGCTTCGTTTAGGGATTGAAGGGTTCTCTGGTTCCATTTCAGTTCCTCTTCGGTTCTGCTTCGGCTCTCCTAAAGTAAATTAAGACTAGGAGCGTTCAAGTTAAATTTCAAATAGAGCATGTGATGTTGATCAATTAAAGAAAATTTTTTAATGGTAAGCAAACAAATTCGGTATATAACTATCAAATTTGATGAAGACACGATTTAGAACCGACTCTTTGAGCCGGTTCGGAGTCGGTTCCGGTACGATTTTTAAAGTTGGTAAGAACCGACTCTGAGTCGCTCTTTTAGAACAGTCCCCATCCCTAGCTCCATTCAATGCTCTAAAGCTTTTCAAAGATATTTTGCCGGTTGATTTACCACGGTAGAGATTACGCATTGATGGCGGTCCTCATGACATTTTAGGAACTGAGAAATAATATTATCAATTTTGGAAATCTCATTTGAACACTTCGCACTTTTCTTTAAATCACCAAGATAAAAAACAGATAACGTGGTCAAAAAAAAATATATAATTACGAAGAACATTCCTTTATAAGAAAAAATTATTGGAAAGATCTGCATCGTGTCGCAAAAATTTAGAACATTTAAAAAGGAAATTTTACAAAATAAAAAAATAATAGAAAAAAAAATTTTTTTTTTCACGCAGATTTTAATTAATTATATAGAAATTTGTCCTCTCGATATCCAATATACGACATTATTATATATCCTTATAAGATCATACTATGTATATTTTTACATTTATTGAATAGCTTTATTAGTGATATATATAATAATTGAATTTCGCTATATTATACAAACATATTAATATTATTAATTTTTCATACTATT